AACCCCCTTCCTGTCAAGGCCATTTTTCAGTATTTAGCGCTGCGGTACTTTGAATGACATTTATTACTTCATGCAACACTGTACTGAAATGAATTTTATACCTTTTTTTGGGGACAGATACAGCTTTCTTCTGGTGGTGTTTAATCACCACTGTGGCTTTTATTTTTTACTATATTAAGGAGAAATTACTGTACATTTTGGGGGGAAAACTTTCCCCTATATTAAATTATGAAACATTTATTAATACCCAAAATATAAAAGACGGGGTCACGTCGGGTAAATAGACACCAAACATGCCAAACCTTAAAATTGCTCGCGGCCATGAAACCTCAAAAAACTACAATACCCAAAATTGGCCATAGGCGAAGCTTTACAAGCTTTTACCGCTCATCAGTTTAGTGTTATCAGTGATTGATGGCCCTAAAATTATTTCCCTCACTCCGACGTTCGCGATATGTAACATGTGAAGCGCAATTGTCGTTTTTGCGCATTGGGGCACCCGGCTCGTATTTATGTTTATATGTGGTGTGGGAGACTTAAACATTTTGGGGGTGAGGGGGTTACATTTCTTTATATGTGACTTTTTTTTTTTTTTTAATTTTTTTTACACTTAATGTTATTGCCATCACATAGGGGGCTAACAATCCCCCTATGTGATGGCACAGGTACACTGACAGGTCCTCTTTATGGAGACATTGTCACCTGGGGACCCCCAAAGAAGCTGATGAAGCAGAGATCTGCTTTGCCAGCTTCTTCTCTCTGGCTATAGCAGCCAGAGGAAAGACAGGTGAATGCGGAAGTAATGTATTACACATCACTTCCGCATTCAGACGTCGGTGGGAGATCAGCAAGGAGGAAGATGCTGAACTTCCTCCTGACACCCTCCCGGGCCGCAGATTGGGCAATGGATCCCGGCATTGAAGGTGAGGGTGTAGGAGGGGTGGCGGCACTCGAGGAGGGGGGCACGCACAGGCAGCACATGCGATCGGACGGCTATAGAGCCGCCAATCACTTGTATGCGTAACAGCCAGTAACGGCTGTTTGCAGTGGACAGGGTTTTTCTGCGCGGGTGCGCGCAAACAAAGAAAAGCAGTCTATTTACGGCAACCCATGTGAGTTTGCCGTCCCACCGTTTTTTCACAACAGGCGGACAGCAAGCAGTTAAAGTTGAACTCCAGGAAGATATATATACCACACATTACTGCAGCACTGTAAAAATTAATACATTGTTAAAACATCCTTCCACGTTTCCTTTATCCTTTTCTGGCTCTCCCAATCTATATCCCACGATCTTATTTCCGCTCTTTACAGGCTACGATCACTAACTTCATCTGGGCTGGTAGGGCTCCTAGGCTTAGACTTTCGGTTCTACGAAGACCCAAACTGGCAGGAGGCCTTGCCCTCCCCGACTTCTACCTTTACTACATGGCATCCCACTTGGCACGCGTCGTAGACTGGTTTTGAAATTGAGAGGCAAAGCCATGGGTGGAATGGAACAGTCGGTGACATCAATCCCCTTGCCAGTTCTACCGTGGTGTGTGGACTCTGTCTCTAGACCAGGTGTAGCCAAACTCCGGCCCTCCAGCTGTGGTGGAACTACAAATCCCATGAGGCTTTGCGAGATTCTCAGCAACAGACATGACTGCCGGAGAGAGATGCATCATGGGATTTGTAGTTTCACCACAGCTGGAATGCCGGAGTTTGGCTACCCCTGCCCTAGACAGACTAGAACTCATGGAGGATGGTGCGGGCGGCGTTTCGGGAGAAACAACTGTCACCCTCACCTATGCACCCGATTATTGGTGATGCAGGAATTCCCCCGGGTCTGGAGGACGGTGTGTTTAGCCGCCTTCTCGCCAAGGGAAGGTTCTGGGCGTTACATTTTCTTGGTGGCAATCCCTGCGAGACCTCTCACTGGATTCGGACATGTAGAGCAGTGCCCAGAGAGAGGAACAAGAAACCGCAAAAGGAGCCAGCAAGATGTGCTGCGGTGAAAGAGGAATGCTGAAAAGCGACAGAGATGAGCTCATCAGCGTGCTGCTTCTCTTTCATGTTCAGCCAGATGACAGGGAGGAGACCTCTCAAAATAAAAATAAATTGCGAGAGTACTAGTAAAATTTGATGAATTTGAAGATGTACATAAAATGTTATAGCAATAGTTTGGAGGGCAAATTTGTTATCTGGATACATACAGTACATTAGTCATTATTAAAATTACACAAACCAATGTATTACTTAAAGTTGACCTAATGTCCAATTTGAAGTAGAGCCCCCCAACCCTTTCCTGGCTATTGGTTACCTAAATCTCATAATGTGCTGAAATTCTTGCCTGTAAACAGGATGTGGTGTCTCCAGTGAAAGGTTGCAGACAGGTGACCGTTCCTTCCTCACCGCTTCCTACTTTCAGTGACCGCAGCAGACAGCTGCGGTCACTATGGGTTTTTGATAGTTGTCATCAAGAGGGAAGGAGAAGGCCCTTCAGCAAAGTGGAATTTAAGTTCACTTTAACAAGCAGATGTAGTTTGCATTCACTTGAAATATTAGAGTATGTCATATTGGTTGTCCTGTTCACTGTTAAATTGTAGAGCCAGCCGTATGTTAGTACCTGTTCACGCCAGTGCGTTTGTAGCTTGCATGTGTCAGAATGGAAATGCTCCACACAAGAAATCCTATTGGTTTCTTTTGTCCCCATTCACGTCTCAGCATAGCATCGCGCTGAGAAAAAAGCCAGTCACTGGAAAAAAGTACATGAGCTTCTTTTTTGGGCAGATCAGCGCGATTAGGAACATGAAAAAAGGTCACATCGTGCTGATCTCCCCAAAAAGAGGCACATACTTACAGGCTTGTGCAGAGCTTTGCCGTGCTGACAAATATGAGCTACAAATGCCGGCGGTGTGAACGGGGACTAACAGAAGGAAGAAATTACAAAAGCATTGTTTTGGTAGAAATGGAAAACATTTATTAGAAAGCCAGTGAAATCAAGAAATGGATATAAAAGATATAACGCCGGTTTAATTTTTGACAGCAAAATTAGGTTTTCATGCCAGCCTTGCTTGTGCTATTTTTCCTGTCTTGTTTCCTGTTTGGTGAGAACAAGCATTCATTGTTACCTACAGATCTTTAGTTTTGTAGTGTATTTGTCCTCTTTCTTTTGTTATAAAGACCTTAACCTCGGGTCATTTAAGGTTTTAAATGTATAGTATAGCATTTATTTTTTAATAAACAGATGTGTTCATACTTGCAAAAAACAGTTTGGGGCGGTTTTGGTATCTTATACTCTAATTGGTCCAATGTCCAATCGTTTAGTTAATGGACCAGTTATGGTATATTGTGTGGAAATTCATAAGACATTTTATAATGCATCCTGACATGCCTATATTATTTGTACTTGAATAAACTCTACATTGCTGTGTTTTTAGGTTGCATAAGGTAGGATCTCTACTTTTCAGAAGAGAGTCTTAAGTGTTTTTTTTATCTTTTTATGCATTTTGAAACCATTCATTCTATGTATGATTTGAGATTACATATGTAAATTCTCCGACCTACATTGCAGTGCTACACAATGACTTTGCTTTACTGCTCCTTCTGCCGATTTGTGATAAACTATGCACTCCCTTTGGTGCACATCAGAAGTACAGTACCTGTTATTGCTTGTAATTATTGAACCATTTTCCTGTTTCCTCCTTAAAGGAGGCAGTCCTTCCATTGCATACAAGCTGCATTCACACTTTAAGTTGGGGAGAAAAGTCAGTCTAGTAGGTCTGGAAGATTATGGACTGATCTTATTAGCCCTTCCTCTTTCAATCTTCATTTGAGAACTTATCTGTAAAGAAAAACACTATGGGGGTCTATTTATAAAAAATATATGTATAAATTCACTCGCACTCCAATAGAATTTCAAGTCAAAAACGGTTTATTGACCCGATTGCTATCACATCATATATAATCGAGTCAATAAAGCGTTTTTGACTTGAAATTCTATTGGAGTGTGAGTGACTTATCTTGGATTGCAGAGGCATCTGCAGTCACTTTGGCACCCACCCGACTCTAAGGGTATTATTCGGTCAATGTGTACATTGGATTTTGATATTTATAAAAAATGTTGCAGAGCTTATACGTCAAGCGAAACTGCTTGTAAATTTGTCCTGTGCAAGTTAAGCAACTGTTGTGAGAATGGGGTAAAACTAATGTTCTTGTAGTTTCTCTTTCTTCTATAGGTATATTCAAGGAGAAGAAAGGGAATGTGGGAAATACTGCATTATAGCCATTAGATGCAGCTGAGGATCATGGGAGATAAATGCATTTTAGTAAAAAGATACAATGTTACAATTTAAGAGACTGCTGGAGGCAAAGAGCATATAAATGTAACCACTGATACTATAAGGCTAGCAATGGTTGCATTTACATGTGTTTTCTCTCCAACGTTCGCTTGAATTGCATCTAATTACTAACATGTACCGAGCTCTGTCTAGTGGCCATAATGCAGTATTTTCCCCATGTACTCTGTTTTGAATGAACTTATTGAAGAGCATTCTACTGGAAGAGAAATAACACTAAGAACATTTGTTTTTGCCCAATTCTCACAACAGTTGGTTAACTCACACAAAACAAATGTTGCTGAATGAATAAGCTATGGAAGATTTTAGAAGTATAATAGGACCTTATTTGTTCAGTTAGTAGGTCTGATTGACTTGATGAATTCTTAAACAAAATGTACAGTCAACATTAGTTGCTTATTTAAAAATGATAACTTTTAAAATTCTGAAATTAATGTTTAAAGAGTAAGTTCAAATACAAATCATAGATATTAAACAGAGACATCGTTTTACTGATCTCAAAAGGTATTGCATACAAAGGTTGTAATAAGTGAATAAAAGTACAGAAGATAAAACCATGATTACCATACTTATTTGTTAGAAAGATCCTTATCCTAATGTAGCTCTAGTATTTCAACGCTCATCCCAGTTATTAACCTTGATGTTGTCTATTCTTAATTTCAGAAAGAAACTGAAGAGGCCTCCTCACATGAATCTGAAGAGGACTAGACAACCGTCGACATGAATTTCTACCTCAGACAGCAGTTTTTCTTCGATTCAGAATCAGTCCCTTCAGCTTATCTGGATCTCAGAAATGAAAAGACACTGCTTTGACCACTTAATTTGTACTACCCCCATCTCTTCACTTCTTGCCTATCGGGCAGAATTTAAAAATGATAGAACCTCTCCAAGAACTTGTTCATTACTGTCTTTCTAATCCTTTTCACTGTCCCAGGTTTAGTTCTAAAATACTGCTGTAAGACAGGGGATACAGATAAATGGTAACTTTTTAAAATGCTGTTTTTATCTTTAACCTACTAATCAATAATGCTGTTGAGAAAAGATGTGTGGGTCAAACATTCTTGAATCAGGTTTTAGTCATTGTCATTCACTGCACTGCATATACACAAAATGACTTTTAAAACAAAATGGGCATTGAAATGGGCAAAGCTCGGTGTGTAAAGATGAGCAATCCACACCAGCTAACACCCACACTTGACAACAACCCCTTAGAACACCAAAGATGAGGGCTTTTTTTCACCCCAAAAAGCTTCTTGTAGATCTGTACTTTTTGCTTAGTAGCTTCATATGTTTCTGTAAGGAAGCAACATGCTTAAAACCTGTGTTTTGAAACAAAACCAGTCTACTATACAGTTTAAAACAAATAAAAATGGCTTCTTTGCATATTCAGTATACATTATCAGCTATAGAATTATACTTTATACCATTATGCAGTCATTTTTTCATTTCAATGTAAAAATATGGGGAAATAAAAGGATCCTTGAGCAATCGTATACTTCTGTTGTGTGGGATAAACCCCATATAGGTTCTGGGTTTTTTTTGGGAGGAAGGCACTTTGAGACCTGGTTCACACCTATGTGATTTATCGCGCAGATTTAGTGCTGTGAAATCGCGCAAAACACAGATTCGCATTCAAGTCAATCGCAAAATCGCCTGTCGCGCAAAAAGGTGCAGAAGATATTTTCGGGCAGTTGTTGTGTGGTTTTGGTCCCATAGACACCTCTATGAAGAGGGAGCTGCGCGAAAACGGCTCAAAAAATGCAATCGCCTAGGTGTGAACCAGGCCTAAATGTTCGTGCAGAATCTATTTTTGAGGGAAATGGGCACAAATATTTTTCTAAATGTTTTTGTTTGTGCCTTTATAAATTCCAAAATTAGGAATATTCGATGGCTAAAAAATACGATTGCTCATATGTTGAATTTATAGATTTTTTTAATGGTTTTAATATACATATTCTCCATAATACATCACTATACTAAAAGTCAAAGTGCACATTTTCAGCACTCCTTACAACTATTGACACTTGTTGCCAAGTATGATCTTGAAAAATGTTAGAACAAGTATGGGATCTATTATCTTGACACGTTGGTATATGGGGGTGGGAATGTTTTTTTAATTTTAACCATGGCTAAGATTGATCACATCTCACTTTAAAAAATACAAATATATTTTCACCTATTCTTCAAAGAACCATTTAGATTAAATTAATATATCTTTATAAATACTGCTATACCTTTTTTAAATTTTATGCACAGGCTAAATCCCTCACCTTGCCAAGCATGGAAGGTGTCACATCCTGCAGAAAAGTCAAAGGGAATATCAACTTCTCTTTCAAAAAGGAGACCATGCATTTACATTTTATTTCTAATACATTAAGTCAGATTCAATCAGTGATACGAATCTAAAAATTAGGAATGTGACCTTTTTTTATTATTATTTTAAATTGAATCTTGGGTGACAAATGTGTACATGTTCATCAACAGCAAGACCCCATAGCCTTATGTTATCACTGTATAGATGTGACTAGTGATATAAGGATTGCTTTTTCCTTAGTACAAATTCAATGTTATCAAACGCATGAACTTGAAACACTAGTCATAAAAACCTTAAAATAGCCCTAAAAGGGATTGTCTTGTTATAGTATAAGCAGAACTCTGTAGGAACAACTTGGAGATATGATTTTTGTTTATTTATGGTTAAAAATGCTTGAATAATAGACTACAGCATACATTTTTAAAATTGTGGAAATACTCTGTAATTCCACAATTTTACCAGGGTCTGTACCTCAGCAAAGCAAATACCACAGCAGAAGCTTTACATATTTTATGTGTTGACAGTTAATGTTTGGTTAAATAAGTCTTAATTTTTGTTGTTATGATCGCTTAATGGAGATTTCAGCTTATCACTGGAAGTCCAGTGTTTGGTGGAATGTCTTGCATTACTATGTTAGTCATTTAATATCTTTTGGCTGTAAAATATTCAATGTCGGCTCTCTGAACTACTCCTTGAAATATTGAATTCAGGAGGTGGGGTTTCTACCTAGTTTACTGAATCTGTGTGGTAGTAAAGGAAACCTTAGAGAGAACCCAGGGGGAGGTTTTTGCCTCAAGTCTTAAAACTTGATCCGCTGAAGCGAATGACATGTCTTCAATAACCTTCAGAATTTCACTTAGAAATTATTTTAAAAAAACAACATTTAAGATACATAGTGAACTGTCTTTTATTGCATGATCTGCAAATGTTTGGATCATTGTTAGTAAACACTTTTTTTGACAAACATCCAGGATGACAAAAGGAAACCCCATACAACAATTTAGTAAATTATGTATTTTCAGAATTTAGTCCAATGTAAAAACGTATGGTTTAACTTTCAGGGTCATAAATTAAAAAGGATGTGCCTATCACATGCCAATGCTTGGCAAGCAACATTTACTCCCTTCACTACTCATGACTACCTCTGAAATTTACAGATCCTACAGCCTAAAGACTTAATGCTGCTATACTCAGTACATTACAGAAAATGTTAATAGTACAGTTAGTTATCCCTTTTTACCAGTTTGTCTACCTAAACACCTTAATACTGTTATGCAAAAAAAATCTTTGTTCAGCATTAACATGTTGTTCCTTTCAACTTCGTATTTGGATTTCTGTATATTGAACTGTTAACTTGAATATATTTTTGTACTGAATTCTTATAGGTTTTTAAGGAGAATCTTTCTGATTTTACACAATACAAATGTTAAGCCTTTTGTTGAAATATTACTGTCCATATATTTACCTCAGGTTTGTATTGTTCAAGGAGAATGGACTAATTAATACTAAAAAAACAATAGTACCTCCAGACGTCAGACAGATGCCATTAAAATATTCATACTTTTAGGACTGCAATTAATCCCTAACCAATGTACTTCTGTAGGACTTCATACCAAGTAAATATATATATATGTCTGTGTTTCTTTATTAGAGGGGAACCCAGGCTAATATAAAATTTGATCCCTGCTGGAGACATCTCTGCAAAACTGAGCTGTTTCATCGTGCCATATAACATAGCATTAAATTGCTAGTGTTGATCAACTGAGACCCAGTGGAGGTCTAAAATGGGCCCATAACAGCACAACTCTTCCACAGAGATGACTAATGGACCTCCTCATTTTTACTGTTCAGAATCCAGTGCAACTGCACTGCTGGCAAACCTAGGAAGTTCCACTTTTAGTCCAACTTTTGAAATCTAAGCTTAATTTTTTATCAATAGTTGTGCTGCAATACTAGGTTTCACCACCCTGATGGTTAAAATTAGGTTGGGTGTGCTCTTCAGAGAGGGTCTCCAGCAAAATAAAAATGTTGCTTCATCTTGTAGAGCCCCTACTTTCCAGTTTCTATGAGCTGAGATCAATGTTATTTCAAAGCACTCATAAGCATGGACCTCAATGCCTTCTAACAAATACCTTCAAAGAAACTTGAAGCTCTGTAGGCGTGAAGATGCAAGCTTGGCTTTTGCATAATGCAATCATAAGTATGTGTTTAATGTAGTGAATTGAATTGTATTTTCATGTATTTTACACAAATGTGATTTTTTTTTTTTAATATTGAGTTGCATTAAGATGTATTTTGAAGTTCTCAAGTAGAATTTTATTCTCTGTTTAGCCAGTATTTACAAGTTCTTAACATTGTATTAATAACTGTGCCAGAGAAAGAGTTCCTATGGGGCGCTTATATGTGCACGGTTTGGTAAACATGGAGACAAATGTAACTATATCACATGTGATGGAATTTATGGTGGCATATTTTGTAATCCTCAAAGTAAAAAAAGGCCTGCTTGTTTAATTCCATTCATTAGTTATGAACGCTTATTTGTGATAGAATTGTTACATATGACTATATCTATAATACTCCAGCCTTGCTTTTCTGTCAAAACTGTAATCAAATTGGAATTTCTCTAGTTGTCGCAAAACATTTGCTCAAAAGGCCCTACATCTATATAGTTTCATGGTTGTACTTGTATATAGACCTATAGTACTATAAAGATGCACAGGAATCTTCTCCATCGTATTACATACAAGACATCTGTTCATTTTGCACAACTTCAAATGCTATGTTGTCATTATGGGCACAGAAAACTTGGGTGTGATCAATGATTTGTTAGTTAGAACAATGCTGTTTGTACATGGGCAGTGCTGCTAGTCACTGTTGCATCTATTAAAAAAAAACTCATGCATACTTACATTGGGCCAGCTGCAGTTTTTTTTTATATCACTGCAAAATATTTGCTGAAATTCAGCCTTTCCAGAAATGTTATGTTTAGAAAGAACCAAATTCTCTTGTGTTCTCTTATGATTCAGAGACCTTTTTGTCAGCAGGTCTGATACGGAGAGATTTAAGTCATGCCCATGCATATCACCAAAATTTTCCTTGGCCCCTAAAGCTCTACATTTTAGAGCACAGAGGTGTGCATGCTACACCAATTTGATTGCAATTTTGACAGTCACTGACCACTTGGAACCTAGCTGTGGTAAGCATCAACCTTCATGCTTTACATATCAAGCCCCGAGGAGCTCTTAGCTCTGCAGCACCTAATTGTATGTTTTTCTTTGTTTTAGTACAATCAGAAAAAGACATTACTACCTCTTAGGGCTTACTATACCTCATTTTTTCAAACTGAACAAAAGCAGCTGGTGACCACTCAGACAGAAAGAACATTATAAATTTTTATACATATAGTTTATTTTTGTGGGAGATAAATTTTATAAGGCTGTTCTTTGTTGTCCCTGGTCACCTGTAAACAAGACTGGACATTTTACTTTCCGGTTCCTCTTGTCACATGAGTGGGATTAAGGGGAAAATTATCAAGATGCTTCAAGATGACGTTTGCTTTTAATCTTGTTTGTGGTCTTCTAACCTTTGACCTTGCTCTTTGCATAGACTTTGTCTGTGATTGTACTTTAAATTGCTTGCTTATTGATCATATTTCTTAAATAGTTTATCACGTCTGTTTAGCACAATAAACATAATAGCCTCTGTTATCCCCATGTTGTCTATATGTGTGTTATTTCTTCTGACTGTAAAGTGCTATTTTCACTCTAACATTTTCTTTATAAAGTAAAACCGTGACTCGACTATGAACATTAAAATATTTGCATACACTCAACAATCAGTACACGCTTTAAATCAAGGCCTTAGTGACCTGTGTAGCTGCAGCCACTGTGTATTAATTCATCCTTAGTTCTGCTACCCAGTTACTTGGCAACTTGTCAACCAACTTTCTAAACTCTGTTGTGAATACAGATTAGGTGCAAGGGGAGAGTGCTAAACTCCTGAGACCTGACTTCACTAATGCTTTGCAG